TTAGTTCGGATCATTTTAAAATTAATGAATTGTTTTTTAAAACCTCCCGGCAGTTCTTTTTTTTTTCTTATTTTCAGGGATTAAGAAAAAATCTTGCTGGAAATGAACTTGTCTTGCTTAATCTCATTTAAAGTGAAGCAAATCATCGATATTTGTACTGGTTTCTAGCCTTTTTACTGATAATTTACTATTATAATAATTTCCAATGTTTAACTCTTTCCTGACAACATATTACTCCAAATCTTTACTGATATTTTCATAAATGATCTCACAGCTTTTACATCCAAACCATAATTGTTATTTGTAAGCTAAGGAAAGAGTTTTTGGTTCCGATGAATAACCTTTTTTTTAATCAATAAGGCGATGAATTTTTCAGCTGTCGCAAGAAAATTACTTGATTCGTATGGATTTTTCATCACAGTATCCATAAACTACACACTATCCTATTATTGTTTGCAACTGTAAAGGGAAAAGGATAATTCACAGCGCTGAATTAAAATTGCAAAAACAAATGTTGACATGTTTGGGTTCGGTAAAACTGGGAAATTGAAATGGGTTACAAGTCATTTCATCTCTATTCGGATTCCTCATTACTCTGGAACCGATCTGGCTGCAATGTATCAATTTTCACCTAAACCCAATAAAAGTTGATGACATTGATAACAACCTCATATAATATATAGGAGATATACGCATGGGAATGAAGTGGGCCGATCGAAGAGAAAGTTGCGAGGACGAGAACTTCAAAATTCTTTTATTTGCAATCAATCTATTGCAAAGACGTAAAAGGCAACAGGGCCCAACGTCCACTGCGAAACTTGCATGGTGTTGTATTGAATTCCTGAATGTACAGACCAAAGATCTGAGATGGCAGGACTTCACAATTATGATATGCATAGAGCCAGCCAGCTGTCCTCCTCTGCTTGCTTGAGGGTCTCCTTTTGCGCTTCGAAGACCTTATGCATCACTCCTCACCTTCAACTTGCACCATATTTGCGCACCACTTATTCTCATGCTTAACAAAGGATGCTTGGTTTCTGAGGGGTAATATATTTGTATATTAGCAATTTCACTTTCTTCGATGTTTTCCCAAACGCGATTTTACAGAGCGTTTGAGACCCTGAGTTTACAAAGTAAACCTCCTCGCTCACATTATTGGAAGAATCGGTGGCAACGCTGGAGGGGCGGGTTGTTAAAAAGAGGCAGAAGCCTTTCTCCTCTTCTGGGGCAACATGAAATGAACAGCTATTGTTCTGAAAAATGTTGATATTTTAACAATTAGTTTTACATTGTCTTACGTCATCAAACAGATTTTTACCATCAGACACGTTGATTGAAGCATTTTTCAGTTCTTCTTCCTAAAAAACTATTAAAATCAGCCTACGTCCCCAGAAAATTTTTAGTCATGCCACTGTCCACTTCTGCTTCCCATTTCTTTCGGAGAAACGAGGTTCCTTGCTTTCGAGTGAAAAGGATCAAATCCAGCTAGGCATTAAATTGTTAGCAAAAGAAAAAAAGACTGGTGGGTCCTTCACTGTCTGTAGAAAATACTACGATGTTGTTGTCGTAGGAGAACAAGCTGACAGATTGAGAAAATGACTCAATATGACAAAGTTCATAATTAAAAGCTGAAATATGACAAACTTCATGATTAAAAGCATCACTTTCGTCGCTGACAATATGTTGACAGATCGGGGAAACTACTAAATATGACAAATTTCATAATTAAAAGCTGGACGATGCATCAGTTTCGCCGTTTAGACCCGGACAGTCAATCCATAACGTTGCCTATCTTCACCCCATTCTGGATTTTATAATGTTTGAACAGATCACTGCTGTTCGTGCATTCGTTCACATCTCGTTGCTCTGTCCAGAAATGAATTTTGAAGTAACAGCACTAGTAGCAGTAGCAACAACAACGGCAACGACAGCAAAAGCAGCAGCAGCAGCAGCAGCAGTAGCAGTAGCAGTAGCAGCAGCAACAACAGCTTGATTGATAATTACTCGGATGGCACTGTTTCGTTCTCCAAGTTGAAATGTTTCGAAAAAAAATGCACTTTCCCCAAAAAGTACTTGTGCGTTCTGCGGTTAAATTTGGCTCAAACTGGTAGCGGTAGGACATTGCGATGTACATTAAAGCGTGAGGTTCACTGTCTAAACTAATTGAAATAAATCTGTCTAACACGAACTCCTTCTGCATTAGTTGAATAAGGGAAAGATGTAAGCGAGGAAAGAGACAGCATATATTTGCCGCGTAGCGCGTAATGTTCGACTTCTGCAGGGGCGCCATTGACGATACAAATTTAAAGTCGCACTTTTGGATGAAACTCATTTCCCCGGAAACTCATCCAGGCTCTACGCAATGGCCCGCAAATAGCCCAATCATTCGAAATTTTTTATTGCACCAGCAACTACCACGTAAATAAATGCTGCATGATTATCTGTTTCCGGACCGCTTCGAGAAGTATAAAAACATTTTACGATTTGCTGTTAAAAGTGAGAAAGAGGAACACCCAAGAAAACTGGCCCTTAAAAAGAGTCAGCCCGAAATAGTTGTGAGATTGATCGTGCGATTTTTTCCTTCCCTTCCGAGGGTTGCTCAAAACCCAGCTAATTGGCGTTTCTCTGGCATTTGCCCGTTTTGATCGAAATGGTTAAATGAAGGCTATTCGGATTGGTGGTTCCGCCACCACAGTTGAACTATCGCCTTTGCAGCGCTACTTGCTACCGCGTCATGCTTGCCAGTACCTCACGAGCTATATCAGACGGTATGTTTTATGTTCCTTTCATATACAACACGCATTTTTTTACCGCACTCGTATCACGCTGCATTTTCGCCCAGTATCACAACAAACGTAGTAAACACGGAGAATGCTGGCCATCACATTAATAAAACAACATGAATGTGTCTGAACACTGCACGCGTGGCGTAACGTAAACGTGGCGTAAACGCGTCGATGACCTACACACACTGGCACATGGAACAAAAGCACCCCGGAGGAAATGTATCAAAAGCATGGCGGTGGCGACCCGTAGGATTTAAAAAAGGCACCAGGATGTAGCCGGTAGCTGTGTGAACGTTGAGTGCCGTGTGCTTCGTCGATGTAGCTTCTCCTCCTGGAAGCCTCTCACTGGCCATCGCTCGTATTTCAAATCCTCCCAACATCGATTACCGCTGCTTTATGAGGGGGGCGCTGCGCAAACGATGACCATTCGTCTCGCAAGCGCTGTCCTCATTATCGGCTTCCATTCCGATGAGCGTGCAGCTGCTGTTAGCTGACAGCCGCGCGGTGTCTTGTTATTCATGTGCACCACCATCAAAATATTGCGGAATGCGGACTGTACAGATTGTTACCAAAACCGGGAGTATTGCTCAAACCCTGTTTTGGGCAGTATCCATATCGCTGAGATACAGCCAAATCCTCTTATCCTACAAAACCGGGTCTCTATTATTCTACCTCCAGTCGCTTATTAAGTTGCGGTGCACCAACCAGGTTTCTTGCGGTAATCAAAATGAAAGGTTTCTGTGATGGCCGAGTCTTTGTTGATCTCATTTTAACATGAACGATGCGGATTAGTTGTTATGGTTTGACAGTCCCGAGATATTTGTAAGCCAGTCATTATTCATAAAGCTGTGACTTATGTGGTATGTCTGATGCATTAAGTAAGCTCATTTTCCATGCATTTTTGCATTTGTGAATATGCAAATGCATTAATACTTGTAGATGTATGCGTGCGTTCTTCCAAATAACTCAGACCAAGACCTATAAAAGCTAAAGAACTGACGTTCCAAAAAATATACTGTATCGCCTTTTACAGGATCACAAACCTGGAATCAATCCACATCACTTCCTGTAGTCCAGCCTATGACCTCACGTAGGAATCCAGCTATTTTTATGACTCGAGAATCGTGAAAGTTACAAGTTGGATTGATTCATTTTGTAGTGCAGTGTAAATAAATTGAATCGAATCTTCAAACTTCAACATAGAATCCGAAATGTGACCTCGGTCCAGAAGGTTGCACTGATGATTCCAACCCCTACTCGCATGCAGCATTGGTGTTCACAGGTAAGTAACGAAACACAGACTGCATCCAAACATTTCTTCTTCTTGAACATGACGCTTAGACTGATCCCTTATCTCCTGCTCTACTATCTCAAACTTAAATTTGCATTGGCTTTTTAACTTCTAACTTCTGGACCTTGCCATTCCTAACAAAAAAAAGTTGCAGCAAAACCGCCTCGTAAGCGCCACTCTTATCTATATGGACGTCTAAGCCTAAACAATGAGTGAGGCGTTTCTCAGAAAATCAAAGATCTTACGGGGCTTGATCTTCGAACGTCTCACGACTTTACAATAGAAAAGGTGTTTGATGTGTGTACAGCCTACAATAATTCACGTGCTGCCTATACCGTGCTCTTGTTTAATCAAAAGTTCCACTCATAGATGATCCTGTTCTGTTGCTTGAAGCCACATTCACCAAGTTCGGGGGTGGGGTGTGGGGGCTAGGAGGGAACAATAACAGAATGCTCATAAAAATCACAAAGCCAGCCATTTTTTAGTAAAAAAACCGGTACTGGCATGAGAGCAACATTCCAAGAGATTAAACTGCCCACCCGCTTACCTCTGAAATGGAAAAGAGGACAGAAGGGGAAGTAGCTTTGTGAGAGATTTTTCAGATAATGTTGAGCAAAGAAGTGTTCTGTGAAGGGCAGAAGAATAGGATGAGCTATGTGCGGACCTCAGTCTCGAAAATACTTAGGCATTCACTGGTTTCAGCGAAGCAAATAATATGACTTTCAACTTGCAAATATTTTTTGCTCCTTAAAAAAATGGCGTAAAAAAATTAAATTCCGCTAGCAGCGATGAACAATCGAAGTAAAAAAAAAAAACAATGCCCGAAAATTTGTTAAATCGAAAAGCGTGGCGCTTCTTTCGATGAATTTTTCAAAAAAAAAAAAAAAATGAAGGAAAAAGTTTTTCATCCGTTCATCCAAAAAAGACATACCGAGGGTGAAAATGTCGGACACAGTTCCCTTCCGCAGGATTCATTTGCTTCATAAAAAAGAAGAATAAAATAACAAGCAATGTGAATGGCAGTTTCATCAACGAAACATTTCATCAAACATACAGACATGTTGGGGAATAAATGATTGGCAATACTGAAAACACAGAGTGGTACGGTTGGATACAATACGGATTCACGATTTTCTTTAACTATATCAAAACTTCAGTGCTTCTGAATAACCACCACCACACACA